AACAACAACAAAAAAAACACTATTGTCGGGTAAACTAACTAAAGAAAGAGAAAATCTACTGAAGCTATATTTATTCACGAACACACACAACAATGTATTGCTAGAGAGAGCTCTCAGAAAATAAGTATTTTGTATCTCTCGAAAAACTGTTGCAGACTGAGAAAACTGCATTATATACTTTCATTCAGAAGTTCTTATCAATACATGAAACAATAACGCCATTCTTCTTGGGGCGCGGGTGCTACGACGTCACTGTTGGTCATTTCCTTTGAAGAGTAAGGGCTACCGTACATCAAAGTATCACTTGACCTGCCAGTGAAGAAAATCGCTGTCTACTTCTAATAGTATGTTCAACCTCACAGAAACTTTTCTCATGAAAAAGAGAACGTGGGGTATTGAACTCCGGATTTCATTGTTCGAAGTACATAAACTTGCCGCTAACCCACCGGGAACCATTATAGTGGAACTGAGACTTAGTTTTGAAATTTTTTAGTGGGGTTGCCTTAGTTTGGTATCTTTCTTCTGGAAATGTGACTTGGTTTTATGTTTTTCTAGTGGAACTGAGACTTAGTTTTGTATTATTCTGGTAGAACTGTGACTAAGTTTTTGGTATCTTCTAGTGGTGCAATGACTTAGTTTTGTATTATTCTGGTAGAACTGTGACTAAGTTTATGGTATCTTCCAGTGGTGCAATGACTTAGTTTTGTTTTCCTCTAGTGAAGTGGTGACTTAGTTTTGTATTCTATTTAGTGGAGCTGTGACAAAGAATTGAAATCTACCAATCTGTGCACAACTAAAGTTCAATTTCAACTTTACACACTTAATGTTAAACACTGCGCAGCATTGAGCAGTACATATAGAAAAATTCGGTAACTTCTAGCACCTTCCAATACATTTTCACATGCATAAACGTAACCTCTGTATTTTTATAATGATAAAATTTTCTTCCTTCATTTCATCCGGATAGGAAGCTCAGATTAACTATTCATAATATCTTCTGCCGTTTTTTATGTTATTGCTATTATTATTCTCATCTGTAATGTTCTCAGCAGACCTGAGAGTACCACAGAATTATTCCAAGGCATTGGAATATTCTATCATAAAAACTTTGTCATATTATTTAAACCTATTTACTTTTCCAGGGGAGTACTGGAGATGAGAGAGAAATGGCAAAGAAGATTGCCTCACAGTCGGGAAGGTGAGGTTTTTTTTATTTTTCATAATTTTATTTCCCATACTTTTGAAGTGTTTAGGTTCAACATAGGACGTATTTTTTTATAGTTGGAACACTTAGTGGAGTGTAGAATGATAAAAGAAAAAAGTTTCGCTTGTCTGTACTCGCTTTTCATAATTTCTAGCTTTACCCTGTGATTTTTCCCGTTTGAGTAATCTTTTATATTGCGTCAATTATACCTTAAATTAACGTGGTTAAAGTGGTTCAATAAATACTTTCACACAAGGTACAGCAAATAATTGCGTAATTAAATGTCACGGTTACGACCTTCTGTCCTCTGTATTGTTTATATTATGCAATGACATAAGATAAAAAAATCACTTTAAAAACACAATGCTGACATAGAAACAAACTTGCTGTTCTTAGAGACTTTTCGAGCAACTGTTCTTCGTAAAAAAAAAAACAAAACTTGTTTGTAGCATATGTTAGACAAATGCCGATAACTGGGAGAAAGGCAGGATTACTTTGTTGTTAACTTGGTGCAAAGCTTCAGAATGGGCTACTTGCACTCTATTCAATGCTGAGGAATCGAACCTCGTATTTTAGCGCTGTAAGTCCATAAACTTACCACTGAACCAATGGGGGGGGGGGAGATAGGCAGGATTAACAATCAGAAGAAATGAAACTAAACTACCTGACTATTAGTGTTTTTATGTCGGAATTTTTTGGTAGCAAGTCAAGTTAATACACTTTTTTTTTTATATAATGTTAACCCCGTTTCTTAATGTTTGCAAAAGATCAAATCTTATTCATTTAAGTATTCATGTATGATTAATGGATTAGTTGGTTTACAAGGCAAATCCAGTCACTAAGCACAGGTACTTTATTAATATATTAATTAGTCATTGTTTCATCTTTGAAGTTTACGAAGCTGCCGAAAAAAACATCGGTGAGTAATACCTGATAATTTATTTAATAAACATTGCAAGGTATTTGAATTTACTATAAACATCCTACGGGATTATTTGTTTGTTTTGTGGTTGAGCTCAAAGCTACACAATGGACTATCTGTGTTCTGCCTACCACGGATATCGAAACCCGGTTTCTAACATACCGCTGTGCTACTGTGGGGAGGGGGGATCTCCTACTAGGAAGAAACGATTTTAATGATATTTTCCAAGTTTTGTTTTGTTTCAAAGATGTTTAAGGGGCATCAACTTTGTTCAAAGGAAAGTTTTATAAGAACACACTATCTTTTAAAATGAAATGGGCGTGAAAAACATTGATACCAAATCTCAATTTTCTGAGCTCACGAACTTTAAGATAAGTTATTTCCAAATTCAATCGTACTTTGTGTATGAAATACCACATTTAACTCAAACTAATTTAGTACTCTAATACTACAGGAAGTTTTTCCCTCGCAAAATATATTGACTTGTGTCTTCCTGTGAGTAAATCTTGAACGAAATAAACACTAGTCATTTTTATATGTTTAGAATATCTCTTGTTGGCTATTAACATTTCGCCCCAATAACACTGTATAGTCAAATTTTGTTTTTGACTCTGTAGTCTACGCTTTACAGCATCATAAGAAAAAGCTGAAGTATTTAAGAATTACGGACTGGGCATGGCCAAGTGGTTAGTGTGCCTGGACTTTAAATCCAAGGATTCATGGTTTACGCCTCGTTGTCGCAAGAACGCGCTCCACAATTTTGAGGACGCGGGTATATTATTCTAGTTACCCCCCCCCCTTATTTGGTCAGACAGGAGTTTGCAATGAGTACTTTCCTTTTAGATTTTCAGTTCAAAATTAGATACGGCTATGCTCATATATACATTGTTTACCTTAGTTTCATTATTTTTTGTTGTTGCTTTTCAGAGAAATAGTGCTGGTGTCTGAAGGACAAGAAAAACAGGAATTCTGGAATGCTTTGGGTGGCAAAGAGCATTATGCAAATAATCAACAACTTCAGGTACGTAAAGGCAGGCGCTGGGCTCTGCATGTTATACTATTTTGCCTAACGTTTACCTGAAATTATTCCACAACAAATAAATTAAAAAAAAATCTGCAATTTCATTTAACAATACGACTTCAGAGTGACTTTATTTGCAATATTTCCACACGCTGTTTTGTCATTAATGGTTTAAACCAATTTTATAAGTATTAATAAAATATGTACCTAAAATGTTTAAATTATACTTTATTCTGTATTTTTGTAACCATGAACTGTTGGCTAAAACTTTAAACTTAATTTTTTTTTCTGAATTTGTACACTAGAAGGAAATTACATTTCATGCTTTGTTTTCGATAATTATCTGTAAAATGTTCCTTCTTCTAACGTTTAGTTTTGTGATTAATTATAGATTTTTACATTTTTCATGTTATAATTATTTTTTTGTTTATGCAAATAAATAAATTTTACTCGTACCATATTTAGATGACAGACGATAGCCATCAGCCAAGACTATTTCAGTGTTCTAATGCCAGTGGTCGGTTTTTTGTTGAAGAAATTATCGGTTTTCTTCAAAGTGACTTGGTGGAAGACGACATAATGCTACTCGATGCTTGGAAAACAATCTTTATTTGGATTGGTAACAGAGCAAATATAGAAGAGAAGCGTCGGGCCATGTCTGTCGCAGAGGTACAAATGTTATGGCTTCAAATTTTGTATTTTAAATCTTTAAACTAAAGCAAAATAAAGTTTGTTAAAAAGAAAAAAAAACAAACTTGTATCATTATAGTCTCGAGGTTGGAAAAAATTATGTCAGCTATAATACTCACCTTAAATTATTCAGGAAAGATGTGTTGTCCAAATGACAAACCAAATATATTTTGTAAGAGAAGTTTAATTTTTAATATTTGTTCAGATGTTGGCAATGGCCTTTTATTTGGACGAAATTTATGTATATGTAAACCCGCGTTGCTGTTTGCATAATATCGTTAGTTTTCCTAGTAAAAAGAAAAATTAAAGCAGTGTCATTCATTTTAAATGTACAGAATCACATTTACGTCAAAGCTTTAAGTCTTCACTATTTTATAATCATGAACGCTGTTTGTTTTTATTATGTACTGTTGACGAGAGTAGCTCAGCACTTAAATGTGGGCATGATGGGTATTTTTTTTAACATCTACACCTGCCCTTTATTAAAGTGTATATTATACATTTTAAAAACTTCTTATATATATCTTAGTGTGAAAAGGAACTACGGAATGATGAATTTTACACGACATGCAACAAATGGTTAATGCAAAGGTCTAAGTTAGTTTATCACATGACAAACTTTACAAGCACAGCGTAGTTGAAATGCCATTTCTTTAAAGAAAGAAACAACAACAAAAGTCAAGTCTCTATTACGATTGTCTGGATTATTCTATATTATCATTTCATCTTATTAGGAATATTTGCAAACTGATCCTAGTGGGAGAGACAGCAGCACACCAATTGTCAAAGTTAAACAAGGCCTGGAGCCTCCTAACTTTACAGGATTTTTCGGTGTGTGGGATAGAAGCCTCTGGAATGTAAGTTATTGTAATTTAAAATATTTGATTGGCTCTTTAAAGTTAATGTATTATCACACATTCTTTCAAAAATAGTGAATATTAGGAGTATTTTTGCAATTTATGGAAAATGATGCTGCACTTTGGATTTGAAAGTGGTGTACATGTTTGTTTGTTTTTATATGTATCGAATTTCCTGTAATGAGTAAAAGACATCTCAAAAACACCATACATGAAAGGTGGAATTCCTTGAAACCAGTATAACTCGGTTACAACTGGTAGACTGGGCTTCACAATTTATTTTATTATTAGAGTTTAGTTGTTTAAGTGCAGACTTGATCAGAAATCATTATAAAATCGTGACCACAAAATTCATAAAAGTTTTTCTATTGATACCCAATGTTTCAGTTTTTATTAAATTATACTATTCAATAGCATAGCTGCTTTATTTGTATTTTTTTCACATTGTTTAAATTTTACTAATTTTGAGAGAAGAGTATTAACTTGTATTTTATTATGAAGTATAAAGATTTTGATTTAACCTAATTTCAAGTTATTTCTTCCCCTGTAAAGTCATTTTTTTTCCATTCAGACATTTTCTATAACATATCACTTAAATTGTAGATATCACAACTCAACCCTGGAGATAGGTGGAAGCAGAAATGTTGGGTACTAGTAAAATAATAATAAATGAATGTTCTTGATTTTTGTGGTTGTAATATTTGTAAGGAACCAATTAACTTTAAATTGTAATAAAGTAAGGTTGTGATGACACTGTATCTCTGAACAAGTATATTTTGTGGTAACCCTCCTGAGAATGATTCTTGTTTCATCACTTACTTGTTTAATTACAGGTGTTTGTTAATCAAACGTAAAGGCAAACTTTTTATCTTTAGAAATATTACTTTTTTTCAATTTATGCAGAAAAACAAAACTTATGACGAAGTAAAAGCTGAATTAGCAGAAGAGAACCCTGGAGTAATTGTGGTTCGGGTGAGTATTAGTAATACAATCTTTATAATAGTGATTGTTTTCATTTTAATCTTTAACTTAATTATATAGTAAAAAAAAAAAGGTTCTTTATCTCTAGTTTTCTAACTTGTGCATTTCAAAATTCTAGCCTCAAATTAATGGCAAGATTTCCAGTCCTGATGTTGATAAGTTTCCACTGGAGATTTTACAGATCAAAGATCCTGAAGAACTTCCAGAGTCAGTTGATCCTTCTTCAAAAGAAGTCAGTTTGTATTTTCTTTTTAAATTTAACAACTGCAAACCTTAGTATTGACAATAGATTACTGTTGCCACCATAACTTTTTTTTTTGTCATTACTTTTAGCTGTATTATGTAATTTTTAATTAATATTAACTTCTGACCAAAGCGTGGATCATACCTAAAAATCAACTCGGTAATGAGTATGGTTAACTAAATATACTTTTCTTACTTGTATGATCATGAACTCCAGAGAACACTACAAGATTGGTTTGTTCATAATTTTAGCTTTATGCCTTTACCAGAAGCATATAGTTCCCAAAGAAGGCATGAGGCCAAAACACCGAGCAAATAAAGCTTCTAAAATTCTCTATAGAGTTCAAATTGTTCAATTTAGCTGTAATTATGTGTACTCTATTAAGCATTACATAAATTAAATTGTGTTAGTTCTAAATCCATATCCTAAGCTAACAATGCAAAATAATCTTTATAATAATAAACAGATATATATATATATATATATATATATATAACTATTTA